CGTCCAGACCCTGAAAAATATTCTCACATCCGAAGAAGTCACCCTTGCCGCTCCATGTTTCAACGACGAGGTCGGTCGACCTTTCATCCTTGAGACGGATGAAGGACCAATGGCAGTCGGCGGGGTGCTAATTCAAAAAGGCGAAGATGGTAGAGAGCGACCGATCAGATTTGAGAGTAGGACGCTCAATTCAGCTGAGCGGCGCTACTCTCAGTTCAAGAAGGAGGTACTTGTGATACTGCATTGCCTCAAGACCTTTCAGGCTTACCTCTTCGGAAGGAGGTTTATCCTGAGGATAGACCCAACCAATGTCGCCGGGGCCCTGAAGAACTATAAGCCTATAGACCCGACTGTTGGAAGATGGGTAGGATTTATCTGGCAGTTCGACTATAAGATTGAGCGCATAGCTGGCCTTAGGAATCGAGCAGACGGAGTGAGCAGGGTGGCCCTCACACCCGAAGGGCTAGAAGAGGCAGAGCCGATCGACTCATTCCTCGACTACGAGGGCGGGACGCTGGTAGTAGACAGCGAGATGGCCGGAACCACTTGCACAACTGGGGAGCTATTGATCAAAGCACTCGAAAAGGGGCCTCCGGCAGTGGTTGCCGAGTTAAGGGAAGGTACGGTCACTAGAGTTGGAAGGAAGGAAGAGAAGGACGCTTGGGGCAGTGTTGTGAAGCCCCGGGATGAACAAATCGCACTAGCCGTTGAGGGAGGCTGGAGAAGGGTTATGAGCATAATGGAGTCTCAGGAGCTGGAGATGCAGCGCTATCAGGCCTATCAGGTGGATAATAATCAGACGGGTACTCAGGAAGAAGAGCAGTTCTTCCTCATCAAGTCATATGAAGGTTTGTTCAGAGAAATTGGGTTGCTACTGGTGGGGAACAAGGAACCCCACGAGGTTAGTCCTAAAGCTAGGGAGGAAGCGTATAGGTATGTGCTTAGAAGGGGGCACCTATTCCGAAAGGAGGAAGGCCTGATGCCCAGGAGAGTAGTCTGTGGAAGGATGCGACAGCTCGACATTATTCAGGCCATGCATGACGGATTGGTCGGTGGCCATCGCTCATCCAAAGGAACCCTAGCCAAGATAACGCCGCTCTATTATTGGCCGGGAATGGCATCTATGGTAGCCACGTACTGCCAAACCCGCAAAATCTGCCAGGAACGAAGCATGGTCCGCATTTTCGAGCCACTTAGACCCACCCACGTGTTGGGGCCAGGGCATATGGTACATCTCGACCTGGCAGTCATGCCGGTTTCCAGAAAAGGGTACAGGTACATACCTGACGCAAGGGATAACCTTAGTGGGTTTGTCGAGGCAACCTCGCTCAAGAAGAAAACTAGGTTTGCAGTTGCAGACTGGGTGGAGGACTTTTATCTGAGGCACCCGTTCATCAGGAGATTCATAGCCGACAATGGGACTGAGTTTGTGAACCAGGACATCCTGAATACCTGCAAGAGGCTTAGCGTACCGATCAAATTGACAGAACCATACCACCCTGAGGCCAACGCGCTAGTCGAGCGAGGGCACCAAAGGCTTAAGAACACGATTGCAAAGTTGGCAGCAGATGACCTTGGGAACTGGCCGGACTATCTCAGACACGCGGTATTTGCCGAGAATATGA